GAGATATAGACCAATGAAACAGAACAGAGGCCTGGGAATTAAGACCACACACCTACAACCATCTGATCTTTGACAAACCTGACAAAAACATGCAACGGGGAAAGGATTCCCTGTTTAATAAATGGTGTTAGGAAAAGTGGCTAGCCATGTGCAGAAAGCTGAAGCTGGACCCATTCCTTACACCTTATACAAAAATTAACTCCAGATGGATTAAAGATTTAAACATAAGACCTAACACCATAAAAACCCTAGAAGAAAAGATAGTCAATACCATTCAGGACAAAGGCATAAGCAAGGACTTCATGACTAAAACACCAAAAGCAATGGCAACAAAAGCCAAAATTGACAAATGGGATCTAATTAAACTATAAATCATTCTATTATAAAGACACATGCACATGTATGTTCATTGCACAGCAAAAGAAACAATCATTAGAGTGAACTGGCAACCAACAGAATGGGAAAAATTTTTTGCAAGCTACCCATCTGACAAAGGGCTAATATCCACAGTCTACAAAGAACTAAAACAAATTTACCAGAAAAAAACAAACAACCCCATCAAAAAGTGGGCTAAGGATATGAACAGGCATTTTTCTAAAGAAGACATTTATGCGACCAACAAACATATTAAAAAATGCTCATCATCACTGGTCATTAGAGAAATGCAAATGAAAACCACATTGAGATACCATCTCACGCCAGTTATAATGGTGATCATTAAAAAATCTGGAGACAACGGATGCTGGAAAAGATGTGAAGAAATAGGAACACTTTTACACTGTTGGTGGGAGTATAAATTAGTGCAACCATTGTGGAAGACAGTGTGGTGATTCCTCAAGGATCTAGAAATAGAAATTCCATTTGACCCAGCAATCCCAATACTGGGTATATACCCAAAGGGTTAGAAATCATTCTATTATAAAGACACATGCACATGTATGTTCATTGCAGCACTGTTTACAATAGAAAAGACTTGGTTGGAACCAACCCAAATGCCCATCAATGATAGACTAGATAAAGAAAATGTGGCACATATACACCATGGAATACTATGCAGCCATAAAAAAGGATGAGTTAATGTCCTTTGCAGGGATATAGATGAATCTGGAAACCATCATTCTCAACAAACTGACACAAGAACAGAAAACCAAACACCGCATGTTCTCACTCATAAGTGGGTGTTGAACAATGAGAACACATGGACACAGGGAGGGGAACATCACACACTGGGGTCTGTTGGGGGGTGGGGGGCTAGAAGAGTGATAGCAGGGGGTGGGGATGTTGAGGAAGGATAACATTAGAAGAAATACCTGATGTAGGTGACAGGGGTGTGGAGACAGAAAACCACCATGGCATGTGTATACCTATGTAACAATCCTGCCAGGTCTGCACATGTACCCCAGAACTTAAAGTATAATAAAATTTTTTTAAAAAAAAAGTAGGTACAAAGTGCTCTTCAAAATAAATCAGGGAAATCAAAGTGAAAAAAAAAAAACCAAAAAACAACAAAAAAGAGAAAACAATACAAGGAAAGAAGATGATGTATCAGAGCCAAACAAAGAAAAACCCATGAGTAATCCAGAAACTCCCCCTCTAACATTCCATCCTGGGGAAACATTAACTACAGATTAAGAGTTATGCACAGAGATTTTCTTTGCAGAGTTTTTTATAACAGTAAAACATTAAAGATGATATGAAAGGCCTAATAGGGGGTTGGTTAAGGAAATCTTGGTTCATTGTAATGTTTTGCAGCCATTTAAATAATACTTATAAAGAGTTTTTGATGACATATGAAATGTTTATGATATATTTAGTAAAAGAGGCAGAATAAAATTATATGTACAGTATGATCTCAACTAAGGCATAGAAAAAAAGACTGGAAGGAAATAGGTCAAAATGTTTACACTAGTTGTCTCTGGGGGAAAGGTTTGTCAACACATTTTTCTGCATCTGTATTTCCTTCTGTACTTCCACTTTGTACTTTTTTTCCAAGAAAAAAGTGAAAAAGGAAGTGTTGGGGAAAGCCTACCATAATACTTATTTTAAAAAATGAGGCAGTAACCTATTAAGAATTACTTCTTACCAAAGAATTTCAGGGATTCTAAGACTCTCACCCCATTTCCCCTTAACCTGGGCCTCACTGGAAATCAATTTCTGTGAGTAGGTCATGATGGGGTGACTTGGACACATGTGAAATGTGGCGAGAAGGTATAAACATTGGCTCTCTGTCTTTATTGGACTTTATGCAGAAGAAATACAACATAAAAAATGCCATCCAGCAAGTTGCAAAAGAAATTAAAATGCTAATTTTTATTGTTTGTAATAAAAGTAGAACTTATGAAGTTTCTTTTGGTTTGCTGGGTCATCTGTTTCTGTTTGTCAATCCTGATTGCCGGGAAGATGTTTAGCAAATAAATGAAACTCAATAATTTTTTTTTTTAAAGCAACTGGCTTGTAGTAAAATCCAAACAGAAAAATATAAGTAAAAGATTGCAGTCTTTTCTTTTCCCATCTGCTCTCCTCTCCATGTCTGATATATTTATTAATGTAACTTAGGGGTTTTAATTCTTTTATTTCAACTTCTACAACTTGGAGGAGAGAAAAGCAACTTTGGATTTGAACAGTAAAGGGAAGGCTTTAGGTGGGACACTGGTTCTCAGCTGGGGGTAATTCTGCTCCCAAGGGATATTTGGTAATGTTTGGAGACATTCTGGTTTGTCACAACTTGGGGAGAGGGTGCTACTGGCATTTAGCAGGAACAGGCCCAGGGATGCTGCTAAACATCCTGCGATGCACAGGACAGGTCCCCACAACAGAGAACTCTCAAGTTCAAATGTCAACAATACCAAGTTTGAAAAACCCTGAGGTAGCATTTAGAATTTGGCTTTAGCGAGTCCAAGGAGGTGGTTGGACTGGAGTCATTTCTCAAAGAACACTGATCAAAGGAAAGTCAAAGATGAGAATTTATTGCAGTGACTGGGCAGGGGGAAAGTGACACTGGAGCAGAGGTAGAGCTGTTGGCTATAACAACATGTAACACTTTGCTCCTAAATATTGTGGCTAAGTGTTGCCTTTCAATGTAGCACAACGACAAGAGCCACCAGAACTCCCAGAAAATTCCAGATTATCCGTTAAAAGGAAGTGCCATGATTCACTGATAGTAATCAGTATTAAAATGAGTAACAAGTCCTACAGACTCAAATGGCAAACAGCAAGTAAAGCCACAAGACACAACCATAAACTTATATGTGAAACACTTCTTTCTTTTTCTAAGTTTACTGCATGAGGTAAAACAGTATCCCACATTGCAAAACAAAGAAACACACAAAAAACAAACAAACGAGCAAAAGTCCTGATCTTACATTTCTAATAGGTTATAAAAGCAGAAAGAAAATTCAGGAAGGACAATGCAAGCTTGAAGTTCCATCAGGAATTCACAATTGTTCAATCTCAATTTATAGTTGTTCATTGCTTATTATAGACATTTACATCAGCTTTACCCAAATGAATTTGTCCACTGCAAATAAATCAAGAAATGTGGGTAGATTTGAAGTAAGTCATAATGACAATTTGGTTAATCAAAAAATCTAAAAACAGCCCAGCTGTACTTTATATAGAAGCACATGGAAGAATCTCAGAATCAGACAGATGAGGAGACCAAAGTTGTGAGCAGCTATAGTAGTCACTGCTGACTTGTTAGTTATAGTGCTGGGAGCTAGATCTCAAGTTGCAGTTCTGTAACATCCTGGGGCCTCCTTAGCTTTGAAATCCCAATGTGTGTGTGTGTGTGTGTGTGTGTTTGCACGCGTGCACAAGCGCAAATTCTGTCAAAGAGATGGAGTTAACAGTAACAATCAATATTAAACTGAGCTTTTAATATAAATATGCATAGTTACATCCTAGATGACATAACTTGTTGTCTTGGCTAGTTCTATGTGTGGTCTTACCAGAATCCTGAATGCTTACTATTTCCTGTCTAAAATGCCTAGCCCACAGTATTTAGGGGAAAAATTCTGCGATAGGGGAAATGAAGAGTTTGGTCAGAAGACGGAGATCAGCAAATACCAGAGCCCTTTAATTGATGTAGAAATGCTCCAACTCTATGGGGAAGAAAACAGGAGCTTAAGTAGGTTGGAATCACTGCCACTCCATACGAAGGCCAGGCTGACAGGAACCATTTTGGGAAAAATCTGAAGAACTTTGCCTCAGCAATTTTTAGTTCAACTGACAACGTATGAAATTCACAAGCAGTGGCAAGTCTATAGAAATATAAAGGAAATTAGTAGTTGCTTAGGACTGAGTGTGGGAACAGGGATTAATTGTAAATAGAAACAGGGATCTTACTGAGGAGATGGAAATGTTCTGAAATTGGATGGGGTGATCGTTGCAAACCTCAGTACATTTTATGAAGACCATTGAATTATACATTGAAAATGGATGAATTTTGTAGTAGGCAGATTATACCATGATAAAGTTGTTTTTAAAAAAAATCACAAGAATTGTCTAGTTTTTAAATCACTTTCCACCCTCCTAACCATGGTGGCTGAAGTCAAATTCTGACAGCCATATATCATATAATATCTACTCTTAAAGCAGGATTTGCTAAACTATCCAGTTCTCTACCAAATTATTTAGATGGGGTTAAGAATAACAATTGTGCATCGACCTCCTAAAATTAGATAGTCTCATGAAATTTGAGTTTCTAAAGCTGGAAACCATAAGGTCTTGAGTTTGGTGTCATTTCTAGATGTGACTGTTGCATAGGACTGGAACAGCTGGTTGTCTTTCAAGAACTTTAGAAAATGTTTTACTTCCTTTTCTCTTCAGTGAATGACTTTGCTAACACGGAGTGTAAAGTACAGTCAAGATTTTTGAACCCATATTGTGAGTGCATGCTGTTTTTCTCTGCTGTTGTTCATCGTCATGGTTTTCCTGGAGTAGGCAGAAGAAACAAGAAGGCTGAGAACATTAAGTGGCACTTTTATTCACCAAACACTTACAGGGTAAGGCTGAATGACAGTCAGGAGTATCGATTCTTTGCAGCTTCTGTAAGAGAGAAAAACAAACATATTTATGATATGCACTGAGCTCGGACTCTAACCAGTAAGAGTTTTCTTTCAAAACAAAATGTGTGATACATTAGTGTGAATGTTCCCTGGACTCCCAGGGTACAGTAAATCAAATAGCTCAGATGCAGGCATTCAGACCACACAAAAAGCCAAAATCAAGTGTTTCCTGAATTTAACAAACTGCACAATTGAACGCTTCCTAGCAAGTTTACGTTGGGCAATATTATCTGTGCTGCCAAACAGCAGGACCTTAAAATAAAACCCAGAAAGGGAACAACAGTTTTAGAAGCATCAACTAAGTCTCTACATTTTTTGCTGCTCTCAGAATTGTTTCTCCCCTTCTGATTGTCCTTTAGCCAATTTTTCTTTGCTGCTTAAAAATTTCTCTGTAGTTTTCTGTCAGAGGAAGAGATTTTAAAAAATCTTTATCAATTCATGGAACATCATTACCTCTCAGGATCAGCATCCTGAAAGAGAAATGTTATTGTAGGTTTCTTATAAAGAAGTAGCATCCCAGCAAACATCATTTCCCATACTGTGTGACTTAGTAAGTCCCTGGTCATAATACTAGGACCCTGGGATGATTAATATTTCAGACAGGCACCAGTTGGGAAATATTACTCACAATAGGCTGTACTTCATGGCTAAAAGCAGAACAATGTAACATAATGGTTTATCTAATTCCCTCCAAGTAACTCAAACCTTTGAGGAAAAATCATATTATGGATTATAATAGTTTTTCTTTCTTCCCTTCTTTGTTCCTTTTTAAATCATGACTAGGAGAAAGGTCAGTTGCCATTTTGATAAAGAAGAGCTGACTTTTTCTACTTTAGGTTGCAATTAATTACCTGCTTTTCTGATTTATTGCCCAAATGAGTAAGGGGAAGATCTTTTGCAAGCCTGTTCCCTTGAAGAAGCCACTGCAAATCACATTTCTAGCACTAACTGATTTGTGGCTCAGCTGACTCACTCTGGCTGGGCTGGACCATATAGTAGAAAGTAGGGTAGAGAAAGAGAGGAGTCAAGAGGGCAGGGAAAGAAGTAAGATAAATAAAACTCCAGGAAGACTCAGAACATTTAGGATAATGGTGCTATGGTGCAGGAAGGTAGTACAGTGCTGATGGTGACCCATCTGCTCCCACAAATTCCCTGTCACCCAGGCTGGCAGGAAGCCCAATGACTGCAGTAGACAGAGCAATAGTGCCATCAAATGAGAATTCACTGGATAAGATGAAGGATCTGCATTGCTGGTGGGAGTATACACATGTGTAGCACTTTGGAGGAGCAATTTAGCTTCAATAGGTCAACTTCAGTGTCATGAACACCATGACTCAGCCAGTCCACTCTGGTTTTATATCATAAAGAAAAAATCTACTGCTAGCCTTTAAGGGGAGGGGGAAGAGGATGCTCCTTGCAGCAGAACATGTGGGTGTGAAGTGTTGGAGGCAAATTGGGTGCCCATGTCCAGGATAATAGATATGAAGCAAATATGTGGAAAGCAACACAAACAGAAGCAAAGCACTATTTCTTAGTTTTTGTTCAAGTTTCCCTCATTCACAGGCAACAAGAGACACTTACCAGATCAGAAATGCTCTATAACCTCACTGACCAAAGAATGTGTCAGTGTGGCAGCCATATTAGTGGAACTATCTGCCATACCTGCCTTGTCCTGTCTAAGTCTGCTCCCAGAGCCCTCAGGAGCAGGCAATGTGCCCTGGGAACTCATTCTCTGCACCCAGCTCATTGGACCTGAATGTTGGAATGAACCAATCAGATTTCCCCTCTCCATAATCAGAACTAGGAGACACAGAGACTAAAAGTTGAGAGCCAAGTCACATTCATGACTGAGCACCAGAGTCAAGATACAGATGCCAGTAATCCCCTGAACAGGCCTGGTTTCCACCATTCCTGAGCGCTGGTTGTTCACCATTTTGCTAGAAATAAAATCATTCACATAAACGATCTCAGCATGGTATCTATCATCATTCTGAGAAAAAGCTTTACTTTTGTTTTCTTTCATCTTAAGTACATAATCATCACCTGCCAGAAAAGAAGAATTAACTCCATAGCACTTCAGATCCCTTAGGATTCCTAACTCAAGCCTAGGCAGAAAGAAAGATGGAAGCCATATGTGTTCATATGTTCCAGAATGCTAAGATGGACTGAGACAGAATCAGCTGAGGCTCAATGCCAATATATGCCAATCACTCCCACATGCCAAAGAAGGGTGCTGCAGGATTTTCAAAGAAGGTGTTGAAGACCAGAGTTTGGAACCCTTACCCCTGACTCATCTTGGGATCTGACTCGTGTCTTCATTACAAACTGAAAAAAAGGCAACAGGGAGAGGCTATCAGAAGCAGTACGTGCTCAAAGAGCAGAGGCTACGTTTGTGCAATTACTACCCTTACACTGAGGCAGGCCCAAAGTGTGAGACTCTCGGAAGATGCAGTAGAAACACTGGCCTTGGACGTCCTGATCCACCGAGCTACTTTGAGGGATAAGGGGGCCTTTGCAGAAATATATAGAAGCCAAGGAACATTAGGCATAGCCAGCCCTTGGTTTCTGCCTGACTCAAGGGGGCTGCAACTGGAGTAACTCAGCAAAGAAATCTTCCAGGAATCCATGCAAGCAACCACAAGAAAAGAGTCCACCACCATCATCTTCCACGGACAGAAGAAGCTAATGCTGGATTACACTGGTGCCAATCAAGTGAAAAATGTCTTGCTTTTTACCTCACCATCTTGGCCTCATTTCAATCCGGAAGGAGCTAACACTAGGGCAGAATGCTGGGGCAGTAGAGAAAACATTGACAATGCCCCTTAACCCACTGCAGGCTTCCCACACCTGAAGTGGGCACAAGGGAGCAATTTTGTGGAGTTGGGAGTTTTGACTGTTACATGACAAACGTTGCAATTACAGATTACAAATTGTGATTACAAGTATACAAGTGACTAGAGAACTTTTCTGAACCTGATCAATATGTTTATGGGAACTGCCTGAGATTTTGTTGAGGGCTAAGGAAGAACTGGCCCTGGGGAGCTGTTATAAATGGGCAATGGGGGAAAGAACATAGTTGACTTATGACTGTACCCTCCAAGACCTGCTTGATCTACTTATTCTCATTTTCTCTTTATTTAAATTGGCTTGATTAGATCATATTCTTTGAGTCCAAACACCCTTTGACTAAGACAGGGAGGCTTAGAATCTTGAGAAGAAACAATAAAACAGTAAACAAGAGAATAAGGGATAAGTGTCAGACAAAAAACTGTAAAGCGATAGGGTAGGTGGGAGAATGACTAGGCCCATAAGGCTGTGGGACAAATGCTAATTTTCTCTAGAGCAATGCTCAGTGGCACTGAATTTATTTGTTCACTTCTGGAAAGGGAAGCTGATATGCACAGCTTCAGCGCAGTAGCTGTTAGGAGCAGACAAGGCCCTCGAGAAGGACTCTTGTTAGTCATCCTTGATGCTAATAAGCATAGACCCTGTATTCACTTCCTATTGCTGCTATAACAAATTACCACAAACTTAGTGGCTTAAACATGATGTAAACGTACTATCTTAAATTTCTGGAAGTCAGAAGTCTCTAATTAGTTTTGCTGGGCTAAAATCAAGGTGTCAGCTGGTCTGCACTCATTCTGGGGCCGTTTTCAATTTCTAGAGGCTGCCTGTATTCCTTGGCTCATGGTCCCTTCCTTCATCTTCAAAACCAGCAGTAGCATCTTCAAATCTCTCCTTGACTTTCACTTCCTCTTTCATTTATAAGGACCTAGTGATTATATTGGGCCCACCTGGATAATCCAAGATAATCAACTCATCTCTGACTTAATCATATCTGAAAAGAAATTCACAGACTATGGAAATTAGAATGAGGAGATCTGTCAGGGGATCATTACTCTGTCGACCACAGACATTAGCTTTATCAGTTATCTAGTGCTGCATAACAAATTCCCACAAAGATAGTGATTTAAATCAATATTACTTATTATCTCACAGTTCATGTGAGTTAGAAATATGAGCATGGCTTAGCTTGGTCATCTTTTTCATGTCCTCTCTTGAGGCCGCAATGTTTTGGCCAGGGCTGGGGTCCCATATAAGAGCTTGATTGGGAAGGATTCACTTCTAAGCTCACTTCAGTGGTTTTTGGCATGATGAAAATCCCCTTTAGGCTGTTATACTAAGGGTCTCAGTTCCTTGTGGGTAGTTGGCTTGAGGCCACTCTCAGTTCCTTGCCATGTGGGTCTCCTCATCTTGCCAATGAGGCAACTTGCTTCATCATAGCCAACAAGGGAGGGAGTCTGCTGGCATGATGAAAGCTACAAACTTATGTAACATAATGATGGATGTGACATCCCATCACCTTTACCAACTTTAGTGGTTAGAAGCAAGTCACAAGCCCCACCCAAACTAAAAGGGAGGGGAATACACAAATCTATGAATATAAGGGGCAGGGATCATTGGGGCCCATCTTATATTTTGTCTGCCACAAAAATAAAGACAGACTTCTAGCCTAGTAATCCATATGTATCTTAAAAGTAGTTTCCATTCATGACTTAACCTTATGCAGAATTTTTTCTGTCAATAAATTCTGGAAGAAGCACTGCTCAGCACACAATTTGAAAATGGGAACTATTTTTCAAAATATATTGATTTTATTTAACGTCTTTACATCTATAGTAATGCTCTGTAAATTACCTGAAACATAATCTAGATTGACTTTAATTTTACTATTTAATGAATAAATGAAGTTGTCTGAATTGAAATAAAATATTCCAATATGTTATTTATCATCAGGACTAGGGACATGCTTCTCTTCTCTTTTTTTCTTGTCTATAATTCTGTAATTACAACCTGCCAAACAAGAAAAATTAACTCTACAATGTTTTGGATCCCTTAAAATTCCTAACCCAAAAATCCTAGGAGAAACAAAACAAAACAATAATCTACACCATTTAAAAATAGCCTCAACAGAATGAT